CGCCGCCGTGCCCGCTTGGCATCAAGGACATTCAGCCCGCGGGGGTGGGGACGCAGGGGGGCAGCCCCGCGCCGCCACAGCCGCCCCGAGAGCCGCCGCCGCTCGGGCTCCGTGGCTGCGTGCAGGAAAGGGGTGCTTGGGATCGAGCCGCAGCTCCCGACCTTTTTGTTGGACATTCTGCCCACCTCGGACGCCGCCGGAGGAGCTGTCAAGCCCCGCCGACTCTGATTCGCCCTCCGCTCTCCTCGCCTCCTCCCGGGCTCCCGTGCCTCGGTGGAGTATTTGCGTTCGGGGCTGGGCTGGAGGAGGCTGCCACACGCGCGCACACGCACACGTTCAGAGGAGGGCGAGAGGCACAGGCACCATCTGCAGTGTCAATGCGGCGCTCCCGCTGAAGGAGGCAAACGCGGCGCTGCCAGGTAAGGAGCCGGCCGGCGGGGCGGGCGGGAGGGCGACGGCTGCGCGGGCAGCCAGACCCGGCCGCTCGGGGAGTCCTCGGCTGCCCCGGAGCCAGCCCGCGGCACACACGCACACACGCACCCGCACACACACGGGCACACACCGCGCACACGCGCACCTGCCCACGTCCCACCTGGACACCCGCGCCGGTGCCGCGCGGTCGGAGCAGGTTTGTTTCTCGCGTTCTTCCTCTGACGCTGCCGGACTCGGACTCCTGTCACCCAGGACTTCAAGGGTGGCGTTCTGTGCATTCCTGCCTCTTTCTCCTACCGGGCTAGGCTACGGGAGGGCTTTTTTTCAGGTCCCAGCTCCTAACATCCCCGAGCTGGGTTTTAAAACGGGAGAAGTAATGGGAGATCCTGGGAGGCCCGCCCTACATCCTCTCTGCTCCGGGGCCTTTGCACACCCTGAAATTGTAACGGGAGACAGATCGACCCGCCGGTATCCAGGCAGACTGGGAGAGCTTGGTGGCCCAGCTCGCGGAGAGGAGGCCACATAGGCGACAGGGGTGCAGTTCCGTAGGGGGGTGCGTGTGGAACAGACACCGCGTTTCCCCAGTAAGAGGCAGCACTACCGCCTTGCTGAAGCATGGTACTGCTTTCTGGGGAATGCACCGGCTTTCAGGGGAAGGCTCAAGCATCGCACAGGCTGGGCTCCTCCGAGACCCAGCCACATCTCCAGTCTCTGGGCAACCGCAAGATGAAGGTGCTTAAGGACACCGGACTTGGGGCTCCCCTTCAGCCCTTAGTCTCTCTGCCGGCTGCATAGAAAAGCACAGACTGCTTTCCCTATGCCTCCGGCTAATACCTGTCACACACCTTGCTAGGTGTGAGTCTGAGAAAAAGAATCAGAAGGGGAACCCAAGAGGGTGCAATGCAGGGAGGGGGGAAGCCCCCTTTCTCATGACCACTCAGCAGAGGCCACCCTAGAGGAGGCAAGGTGCTCCAGCCCGTCAGCCAGAGCCCCGGTGCTCCTGCCAGTGTAGAATTCTGCTCTTGGAAGCCTCTGGTTGAAGGTTCTTTCCTTCCTTCCCTACCAGGAGTTTCACAGGCTGCCCATTTTCATACTGTTTCCGGAGGAGGTAGGAGGTGGTCGGGTTCCTCACAGGCTTTTTCACCATTCCCATTTGGGGGTCAAAGAGCAACTCATTCAGGACTCAGTCACTGTAGGGACAAGAATGTGAGATCCAAATAAAACATTCTTTTGGAATAAACATAAATGTAGAAGGTCGCATTTTTCTCTAGCTGCCCCTGGTTGAGGTAGCTTGTGGGCAAGCTGGCAAGAAATGGAAGAAGCTGTAGCCCCTGCACAGATCAGTGCCCTACAAACTCACCAGCGGGAAACATGTGGGGAGGCTTCCAGAACACAGGCGGGGGGAGTCATCTTCCTTTGAGCAAGGGGAACTCAGTGCTGGGCACAGGATTCCGTGAATTCTGAGACTCCTGAAGATGGAGGCTGAAATAAAGGGCTCAACCAGCACCCCCATCCCTGCTATTTTCAAACTTTTTTCTGCTCCTGCCAAGGTCTCTGGCTAGACTGGGAGGAGAGGAGCTGAGGCCCCTGGAGGGAGATTATATTCCTGCTGTGTGCTGTGTGAGCTGCCCTTTGATTGATTGAAAAGTATAGATGGAATAAGGCAAGGCTCTCTCAATGGGGGGGACCGAGTAGGGGAAGAAACATTTTCTTTTTAAGAATGTGGGTGTGTGCACACCTGCACTCACCCAGAGAGACACTCGCACTCTGAGAGGCTGGCGGTACTCGTGGTGAGCTTGTCAACCATGCCTGACAATAAGACCCACCTCGGTCTTCAGGGCTGTGGGAGAGCGGGGGCATTTCCACACACATGCCTTTTGGGCGCGTGGCTACGGAGGCGGCTTAGTGTAGTATGGCCCACGCTTTGCAGCAGAAATAGTGAACTCTAGCAACTGGGTGGCTCCCAGGGAAACATTTCCTCAGGCGACCCAGAGGAGTCAGAGCATGGGGTGCAGTGTCCCCAGGAAGGGTTCTCCTTTTCCCCTCCGCTTTCTCCAGCCTTTGCTGCCTGTGGACTGGTCATTTAAATACAAAGCCAGCCATCACCAGGCTGGCTAGAAGTTAAACATTTTTAAGCCTGGGTTCAACAAATCCCCATACTTCCTGCACTTAGCACTAGGTACCAGTTTGGTTTCTAGGACAAAGCAGGCTTTAATTACCATGGGTGTGAATCTGAGTGTGCAGTTTGCCAGGGCTCTCTGAGGCTTGCCCCACTCACTCTCACTCCTGCCACTCCTTTGAAGTTTTCCGGGGGGGTCTGCCTCACTGCAAGGGAGCCTTGGGAACCCCCCAGCAAAAATACTTGTCTGCACCCTCGTGCTGAAGGAGATTGTCCTCTGGCAGCAACCCTGGGAGAGGCAGGCGTGGCTGCCCCAGCTGTTTCTCCTTGCCCAGTTCCACGCTCACTCCCAGGCTGGCCTCTGGCCCCCAGGACTTAGCCCTGGAATCCAGTGCTCAGCCAACAGTCCCCCGGAGTGGTGAGTCCGAGGCAGCCTGTTCTTTCCCTTCTCTGTCCCTGTCCCTCGCCATTGCCTGCTGCGTGGCTGTCCCTGCACGCGGGGAAATCTGCCTGGCAGAGTCTGCCTATACTTGGCCTCCTGATCTCCTTAATCACCATGAGGGCTGCTGGGAATTAAGTGGGGGCTTTCGAGGGAAGCAGCCATCCTGAAGTGGGGAGAGCGCTAAGGGGGTGGGGTGATTCACTGCTCTTAGCTTCTAGTTATTACCAGACTTTGATGCAAAGAAATCGCAGCGAATCACTCTCCTCCTAGCCAGCTAGGGGGCATTTCTTAGCCAGTTCCTCACCAGAGAAGGCGCCGTGCAGACAATGCCTCACAGAAGACCTGTTGGTGAGGCTCTGGGCCTGGCTGTGACAGGAGGCCATAGCGATTAGCCTGTGCAACAGATGGGATGTGCCATTTTCTTGGGTTCTTTCTTCCTCTTTATTTGTGTCCGGTGCTGCTCACTGTGAAACTGATTCAGACCCTGGGGGCTGGTGAGCGGGTTCATTTCCCTCCCCGACACCCCTTTTTTCTTCCCCCCCACCTCCTTTGCGGTTCTTCTTCTCACCTCCACCCCAGGCTAATCCACCTCTTGGCTTTGTGTGCATATCCGCCAGCCCATTCTCCCTCAAATTTGTGGCACTCTGAGAAATCAATATAACATGAATTTAACGACAGCTGGATGATTAAGTGTTATTTATATTTAAGAGCGGCATTTTAAAAAGACGTGGCGCTAATAAATCAAAGGGCTGTTGGGAAATGCACGTGATTAGGGTAATTGCCCCACAGGCATATTGAGCAAAGCTAGGTCCAGGCAGAGCCCTGCGGGCGGACATGCACACCGCCCTCTTTGGAAACTGGGAGCCCCCTCTGCTCGCTTCTGACTCCCACCTGCTCCCCTCCGTCTGGATTACTGGCCCTGCGCTCCTCCCCTCCCGGGTCTGTCTGTAGCAGGAAGTGGAGTCTGCAGGAAGACTGAAGGGGTCTCTGCTGCTAAGTGGTAAGAGATGGGTCTTAAAAGCCAAGGTTGGGGCAGCTAATTCCCAGGGTGCCCACCTTGTTCCAGAAGGAGGGGGCTTGGAAGAAAAGCATCCTGAGTCCTGAGTGAGGATGAGTGAACCCCCAGGCTTGGATCCTGCTGATCCTGTGGCATGAGCCTCCCCAGGAAAGCAGCAGTGAAGACTTTAGTATTTGTCCTTACGAAACTAGCAGAACGAAAAGGAATGATAATTGTGATGATGGCTAATACTTTGTTGGCACTTAATGGATGAGGCATCCATTAAGAAGTTTGCACAATTTGCACGTGTTGGTGCACTTCCTCCCCGTAACTGCCCAGACAGGCTGTGATTAGGAGTCTCCCCAGTCCCTGCTAGAGGGAACTGAGATGCAAGAGTGGAAGGACTTTGCCCAAGCTCACCCAGCTGATGTCCCATCTTGCCCTTTGCTTCCTTAGAAGATCTGTGGGCCTGGGGGGGGGGGGGAGAGGGGTAGGACGTATTGCCTCCCCCTCTGAGGGAGTGCTTGCTGGGGTGCTCCCTTCTACTACTATGTGAACACCCTCACCGCCATCCCCCACCCCCTCCAGCAAATCTATTCATCCTCTGAACCTCAATATCTCCATTCATCAGATGTTACCCCTGACTGTTGGTGAGCTGGTTGGGAAGTTGCTTGGGTCCTCTAGCCCAGCGCTCAGACTCTGAGGGGGACTCCGACCTCTTGTCAATTTTCATGGCCTCCTGAAAGAGCAAAGTAGATGAGGGCTGATCTCTGCTTTTGATTCTATGTGGCTGAGTCTTACACAGGCAGGAGTTCTACCTCTCCCTTTGCTTCAGATACGCTGTGCGTGGAAAGAGCACTCTCTCATCCAACCCTTCCAGGCCCCTGTAAGGTGGGGATTTGTGCCCATTTGGATGGTGCAGGAATTAAGGCAGGTCCCGAGTGGCTCTGTGACAGATGGTCTTTTCACTCCTGGGGCCAGAGGCTCCCAGTGGGCGCTCAGTACTTGTGTGCATTCATTCAGCGGCTCAGGGCTTCAGGGCTTTGGAATCCTGCCTCTGTGTGTCGTTCTGGGGTTGGGGGGTTGCTACGGGGTGCCTGCTCCATATTTGAGTTGGAGCCTCTGTGTGTGGGGTTTGGGGGTGGGGGGTGGGTTCTGGGAGGTGTGGGCTGGGAGGCCTGAAGTGAAGAGGTTGCAACCCCAGCACAGAGTCTAACTTGCTGGACTGTCGTTCTGGCCTGACATTGTAGGAAACAGCCACTGGGGAGCCTCTTCTGGTTAGTTCTTTGCTTTTATTTCCTCCAAAAGGCAAACTTCTGTTCTGTGCATAACTGACTGGGCTTTTCCTCTCCAGTGAAGTGCGGGGAGATCCTGCCTCTTCGAGGTGGCAAGCAGGGCTCGGCCAGTTGTTTTCACTACTTCCCCTCTG